TAAAAGATGTAACATAGGAAAGCTTGCACCCATAGCACCTTTCCATCACATTGTGCCATCATATTTTCTAGCCTGCCTGTTATACAGAAAAGGAGACCTGACAGTTTAATATGTTGCTTCAAAGCAAGGGCTGATACACCATGTCACTGCTAAGCCCAGATGTGCCACACACTCATTGCTGGGAGGAAGAAAAAACAGGGGGGAAAAAAAGCCCAAACAATTTTATAAATGTTCTGTAGGGAGTCTAAATGTCTTTTTAATTTGGTCTATATTTTTTTAACACCACCCTTTAGGGAGGCATGTTCAGTGATTATTATCAGTTCATCCATACACAAAGGTACAGTCCCCCATAAGCGTTGACCTTAAATTATCTTTCTCTACATAGAAATGTCATTATCTTCATGAAGGAAACATTTCTGCTTATTTATGTAAATGAAAAACATGGCCTAACACACACAAATATACAGCAAAAATGTACTAATATTTGCCATAATCTTGTAAGGAATTGCTGAAGCATATGCTAAAATTAATTCATCACCCCCCCAGCTCATCACAAACCTGTGACTACTTCATTTGCACTCTGCTTAATGGTCCATCTTTCTCAGGACAACATATGTTACAAATCTCTGTAATTTCATGCTCTTACCTTGCAGACCACGCTTAAAGAAAAGGAAAAAAATAAGAAAAAAGAAGCATTTTCTCCTTTCTTTTAAATGTAGCTCTTGTCTAAGTGCTCGGACAGGCACTGTCAGCTCTGAAAATTCAAGATTAATCAAGCAATTAAGAATTGATATCTAGTGACTTATCATGACTGGAAATGAGAGATGCTGCATTCATTTTAGCTCTGCAAGAACCCAAAATAGCTAACCTGATTTTTATGGACAGCACGATCTTAAATCTTATGGGGAGAACAGTTACAATTCCTTCTATTAAAGTGGTTCCTTCAGAATCCCCCATCTGTGTTCTGCACATTCCTTAGCCAAGGGCCAGTCTGTACAGAGGGCCACGCTGAAGAGCTGCATACTTCAGATTCACACCCTGCCTTTACCTGAATGAGTCTGAAAGTGTAAAGAAATCCCAAGAGAGCCAAGATGTTGTTTTGCTTTTTCTCCCCCATGTGCCAGCACAGGATTGCACTGCACTGCTTAAATAAACAACCCAACTGAGCAGGAATTCCATCACTTCAGAACTGTGGTTTCCTTTAAACATTCGAAAGAATGGCAAGCATTTCCATTCACATAACTGTCAGCATTATCAGCTCTCCTCACACCTCCTTCTCCAGTATCTAATTGTGATGGTAGGGACTTCCCTGCCTCCTTCCTTGGGAGTGGAGAGAGCCTTTGCAACTCAGCTACAGTCATTTGCTTTTCTCTCCATGAGCTCAGGAACTTCTTCAGCAATCAGAAAGACTTCATGGGTTGGATGAGCACATTCACTCAGCACATTCCCGCTGTAAACATTTATTTGGAGATTTACGGCATACATATTTGGACTTTCTGTGGTAATTTGGATCTGATGAGCTTTCCTTATTGTCAAAATGATGGATGCCTCTGTAAAAGAGAGGAGTAACTTCTTCTGCAGCTTTGCTACCTCAGCTAGGCAGATGCAGGTCTGAGAAATCAAAAATGAAAAGCAAAGTGCAGCACAACCCAGTGCTGGTGACTCAGGAAGAAACTTCATTTTCCCCTAAACTATAAGTAGCTCAGTAGCTCTTACTTACCCAGTTACGGGCTTCTTCCTGGACAGCCTGATAGAATTAAGAACATACAAACCTGAATTCTGCTCCAAACTTCACCTCTGATGCTCTGTAGTCTTGGAAAAGTCATTTAAGCTCCCGAGTCTCCATTTTTTCCATGCATGAAGCTGAAATGACATACTGAGCCTTGCAAGAACTTCTGAAACCTCTGATTTTAACAGTACTTGTCAGTGCCAAAAGCACCATTATGGGCATTACAGCACTAATTCTCTCACAAGAGAGGGAAGCTCACAGTGTCACAGGTATTTTGGATACAATGATTACCCCTGGAAGTGCTCAGGTATCATTGCACAAAATTGTAGGCAGATGAATCTTTCAGATGGGATAGAAACCAGAGGCCCTGACAGGTTATTAAAAGACATAACGTTTTGAAGAAGCCCATATGTTAGCTTTTTCATGTTCACCCTGTTCCAATTTGGATAATTACGTTCTAACTCTTTAAAGCAGGGTGGCTGACCTGCCTGGCCCTACCAGCTGTATATCCAAATCTTCATGTGGCCCAGAGTGATACAACACAACCCACATATTTCAAAAAGCTGAAGGAAAAGAGAAGCTCTAGGAGAGCGTTCATCAGCTAGTGAGAAAGATTTCCTCCTGGAACAGGAGCCCTCCCCTCCTGCTGACACAGTCCTTCCCTGAGAATCAGCTTCTCTGTGTCACTTCCCACAGGAACCTGCCTGGTACTGTCAGGGCACCATCATACTTTGTCCCCAGGCAGCTGCACAGTGGCAGCTCTGTGATGCAGAGATGCTGTGAACATTGAAGATTCACACCTCACAACACATTCCAGCAATTTACAGGCCTAGTTATTAATAGTGAAGGACCTAGTGACATACTAGTTACTAATAGTAATCTGCATTTCTACTTTATCATTAAGAAAGAAAAACATTTCATCCCTCACAGTAAGTGGAGCCTGGCTTGCCCAAGAATTAAGCAGGGGAAGACACTGAAGATTCTCATTCTTCTCTTGGAGATCACTGGTGCTCTCTAAGCTGCTCCTTTTTTCTTTATAAACTCTCAATGATAATTCACTGTGCATTACACATCTTGACCCCCACAGAATCCCAAAACACAGAAAGAGCAATATCTGAGCCTTCATCAGCTTCCTGACATAGTAAAAAAGAGAAGCAGCATATGGTGCAAATGATTTTTTTTCACCACAGACACTCAGTAAATTTTCCCAAACCCAAGATAAGATGTCATTTCCAAATGGTGAAAGAAAGTGGTAGAAATTCCAAGGAGCCCCCAACATCTGTCTAATTTTGCATTTCAGATGCCACTCTGACCCAGTGATGGTGTCAGCAGCTACTCTCCTGTCCCTTGCATGGGCAGTCTTGTGCCAAGACATTGGTACCTGGTGAAGCAATTGCTCCAGATGTCATGGATGCAAAAGAGGGGAGCCTGTCCTGTCCCCATCTCTTCACAGGTGCTGGTGGCACTTGGGCCAAGGTACAGACCTTTGAGGAGTGTCAGAGTCACCAGCCCCGGGGGCAGCAGACACTCCTGCCTGGGGATGTTCTGTGTGGCTGGAGCTGCCCACCCCTGGGGAGTCTGTGCTCTGAGGGATACCAGGGAAGCTGGCGGGGGCATGTGGGCACGCAGGGGACAGGAAAGGGAGCAGAGAGGACCTAGGGCACCATCTGGTGGCTTCACTCACTGCCTTCCCTAAATCCCTGTCTCACGGGGTCATCATAGGGCATGGCCAAGGGCTGAAAGAACACCAAGTCTTCCCAAGAGACAGCCCAGCTGGAACAAGAGACCCCTGCCCTTGGCCCAGACTTGCACATCTGTAGGCATTCCTGGGTAGGACAGCAGTGTAAACCAGAGCCATGGTAACCATTTTTTTTTGGGTGCTGTTCAGTCAAGCACTTCCCTTGATAAAGAACCAGCCCTAGCTGGGTATTTAGAGATGATTTGCAGTACAGACCCCTGAGAAGGCTAAAGAAGAGAAGACAGAAGTGATGAAGGAGAACACTTTGGACACATGTTTCACTGGCATTATCCATCACAGTAAGGTCTTGTCTGCAGATAAAGGCAAAATATAGTTTGCACTGTTTTATATGACAAACCAGTACCCATGCAAGAGCTTGTCCTCCACAGAAAAAGATCAAATCAACAAACCTCTCAAGTGCACCCTGGTTTCTGCCTCCTCAAATAAGGATTTGCTGTAAAGCATTATGAAGGAGCCCATTTAAAGGGAATAGATGACTTCAGTTTCACCAACACAGGACCAAAGGCTCATGTCTGGTGATGAGGGCAAAGGATCCTAGTCCTAACACAGCACCTCCTTTAGAAGAAGGCAGGCCGGGCATTTCCAGCTCACACCACTGCTTACTTTGATAACAGGCCTCCACTTCCCTGAAATTCTGTCAATAGAAAAGGATAATTCAATACCTGGGAATCAAATGTTATACCACTACCAGGGAGCCTGCTCTGTGCGTAACAGCACCATGCTGGGGGAAGCAAGTGAGACAGTTAGAGACAGTTTTTAACAGGAATCCCTTCTCAGCATTCAGTTTAAAGCAAAATGTATAGGGTGATCACAATAAGCCAGTCACTGCTTCTCACATTTGTGGAGCTAGGGAAACTGAGCCATAATTTCCTTTTTTTTTTTTTTTTTTTTCCAATTGCCTAACACTTAGAAATGAATACATTTCCTCTTGCTAGTAGCACTCATTTTTTGCACCTATCCTCATGGGCCACAGGGCCAGGTAAGACAAAAAGACCAAATGACAACAAAAAGATCAAGTGACTGCCTTTTCCCTGAACAAATCTCTGCTACAAAGTAGTTATACCAATATTATATAAATGATATTTCATAGTCTCTCCTACCTGTGCCTTCAGGCATGCCACCTTGGAAAACTCCATACCATTTAAAAACATCCCTGCTCTCACATCCTTCTGCTTTATGCTTTTCTCTCTACACAAGCTGTTGCTGCTGTGGCTGCCCATGGTGCATATACTAAAGAAGTGATTTTAGATTGTGGCTTCATAGCTTTAAATTTCCTTTTTCTCATGCAGCAGCCTTTTAGCCTTCCTCACAGGGCCAACCCAAAAGCCATTGAAATCAACACAGCAACCCCCACCCTGATTTTGACAAAGTTTGGCACACAGCCCAAATCCCCACATTTGCCAGTGTTTCTTAGGAATTTTTAATTTTTCACTTAATTGATCAGAACCTGGTGTGATTCTTCCAGTACTCTAGCACTGACTGTTCTAGAATAGCATTTTCCATTGCAAATACTGTTCTTTCTCTTATGTTTTATTTTAAACAGCTTCAGCTTTTTAATATAGAATTGTTCAGGCATAAATGTAAGAAACATGTTACTTTAAAAGGTAACAGAAACACAAGACAAATCAACTCACTGCAAAGAGAGATCCTTGCCAGGAAATTTCCAGTAGCATCCAGTATTTTTAACACTTATAAAATTTAAAAAACAAAACACAAAACCTAACCATCATTATTTTGAAAGTTTTTACTTTTCATCTAATCCACCAGCATCTGCTGAATATTTTATTGCCACACTGCAACATATTTATAATTCATCTCATCATTTCTTCAAATTTGTTAAGGAAAGGAATTGTTATACATGTACAATCCTCTGTAAATTCTTCTGTGAACACAAATATTTCCTGGTCATATTAGTAAAATGTAAAATGTTTTACTTCAAAAATATTTATAATTGTTGTGATCACTTAACAAATTATAAATGGATCTAATAAGACATGCTGTCCATTCATTGCCTTTTCTGAAATGAATTCCTCAGCACTGGGAAGAGAAAAAACATTTTTCTGTGGTTAAAGAAAGTCCAAATTGCATGTTTGAAATCTTTTCTAATAAAAAGAGCAAAGCAATAAGCGGATTATCTCTTTAAACATGGTATAGGAAGGTTGGAGGCCCCGGAGACATTTTCCACAGCCTCTATCTCTAATACATAGCAACATTATCTTCAGCTAGAGAGGGTCCTATGACCCTGGAGCTCAATTTTAATTTGATCTTCTTCTTTAAAGAGGTTTCTACAATTCCTCTCAAGTTATGCTGCATATTCTTATTTTGGGTTGGTTTTGTTTGGTTGTTATTTCGTTGTTGTTTTTTAATATGAGATAAAACAGCCTCAGCTTTTTGATCTGCTGGTTTGATCATGTTCTACAGCTATTTAATGTAACTCCTTCCCTATCAGAACCAGAATATGCACCAACACAAACGGTAGGCAAGTTCCAGCTGACAGGGGAGAAAGAACTTGGACAGCAAATTCACTTCTAAGGCCTCCCTCCTCCTTCTTCCAGTCGTTCTAGGTTTCAGAACTGATCTCCTTGGCAATAATGTATGGTGGAGGGGTAAAGGAGCTTTATACTCTCTACAACAGCCAGCTGAAACAAAGGCCAATGGATTGGTTTTGGTGGGGCAGAGGTACCATGCCTGCTCCCACAGAGGCTCAAAATCCCAAACGATAACAATGCCCACTGCCAAGAAGAAAAGGAAACTGGGGAGCTCCCCTAGGACTTCTGCAGGCTGGAGCCTGGCCCCAGACCCGCCTGGCTTATGCAGCCCCAGCAAGGGAGTTTCCTCACGTTCCCCCCTCCTTGAACCTCTTTCTTGTTCTGGAATGGGCACTGTCACTGAGACATGTTGTCAGGAAGGGATATTTCTCTGTGTTCCTTTTCTCCACCTTTATCTCCACCAGTGCATCCAGTCCTCACTGCTGATACTGCTGAAGGGGAAGCATTTTCTTAGAGGCACTGATTTGAGTCGCCCCACTAAGGTCGCAGCAGGCATCTGTGACTACTTGATAGGATTAGCAGATTATGAGAAAGCGTGTTTGCTGTGGGGTTCCTGAGAAAGGGAAATGGGCAGGTGGATGCTTGGATCTGATTAAACTATGCATGAGGTCCTGATGGCTGTTTCAGCAAAGCCACAAGCACAGGATCAGATGGGCGGCTGCAGGTCGGGAACATCAAGCCAGCACGCAGGGAAATCTCCGGATTGTCCTACCACTTGCAGAGGATCAACAGTTAAGTATTTCAGCCGGGGCAGGTGAGAGAAACCTTCACAGATTGCCCATTCCCAAGATAAGTGCTTGACAAAAGCAGCTTTTCTTTTGCAGCAAACAGCTTTGCTGCAAAATAGCTTTGCTGCATCAATGCAGACCGAGCCCCGAGGGATTTCAACAGATACATTCTGTTGTTAATGAAGGGCAGTTTAGAAGGGGCAAGGGGTTCACAATTCCCTAGAGGTTGTGCTCTGAAGTCAGTGTGGATCTCTCCATGTATCTGCATCTCATCAGGGATGTAAGAGAGTAGCTCTGCTATACAGAGAGATGTCTGGTCCACATAGCGTCAGGTATCTTCCCTGTTAAATATTCTCATACAACGTATCAGAGGATTCTTCTAGACTTTCTTGCTTCTTAGGTGTCTGCAGAATGATGAAAAGGAGAAAAAAGAAATGGAGGAAAATTATTCAAAAGATGATGAATTAATTCTTAATAAGCAGACACTGACATTTGTACTGTTAGGAACGGCTATAAGTGATCTGCTGAAACAGAAGCCACTACAGTGAGAAATGCTGCTCCACCAGAGACGAACGTGACTAATCCAGCCCAAGGGATAAAGATGCCTCCTTTACTAGTCACTCTTCCCCAAAAAAACTGTCAGACAGGGAGGGGAGGGAAAATTGGACTCAGTAAGAAAATAAATCACTCTGGATTCTGTGAAGGAGGAATTCCCTGACCTCCTCAATCCTGTTTCTTCAACAGTTGAGTCTATTCCTCACGACCGTTCCTTGTGTAGACAAGGCGCTGACAGACTGATATTTTAAGTGCTGTGTGGCACAGGCCTGCTGTAAGCAAGGTTACACAGCAAGCAGCTGAAATGCCACCGGCTGAACTAAGCCCTACCTACACCAGCATTTTCTCCGTTGCCACCACCAAAGGGAAACACTACAGAAGTGCTGAGTGGAGGCACCTCCAAAGCATGCAGGATTAACCCCTTGCTATCCAAACTGGCCACCGGTCCAGAGTGACAGCATACAAATGCTCTTTACAGAGGCTTTCTGCCCTGCTTCCCTTAACAGCTCCCCCTCGGTTGTGCAGCCTCCCACAGCAAGGGCTGGGCTGGACCCTCTGAAGCAGAGTGAGCCACTGCCAAGCAATCTCAGCTCCCACTCACAGGCAAACCCACTGACCCACAAGTCTCACTCTTAGGGAAAACACCCTCCTATGTTCTGGCAAAGACAGCTGGAGGACAAGCGTCTCAAGTGGTCACAGCCCAGGATAACTAAGAGAGGCTGATCAAAGTGCTTGCAACTGCAGTGAACAGTGCAAACTCTCCCGTGCTGAGCTAATGGGATCGTGCCACTCACACCCCCCTTCCTCCAGAGCAGCACAACAACTGGGGACACTTGGAGTTGTCTGCTCTCAATGTGAGAGTTCATCCCATCCCCTCTGTGCTTTCTCCTCTCTTTCTCCCATCTCTGCTTTGACCTCTACCCCACCCTGGCTGAGGCTGCCAGTGCCAGACCCACTCACACACAGATGCTCCTCTGCTGTTGCTTTGTTGCTGCTCTGTTTTACAGACCCTCTGTCCCTCCAAGCAACGGCTGAATGGTGTGGGCCACACACAAGCAACTCAGCACAGCCTAGACAGCTCCCTGGTAGGGAAAAACCCCACAGATACTTCATCTTACCATCCAGACTGAATCATTTCAGAGGGAGCAGCTGGTAAAGGTATACAGAAGAATAAACAGGATCAGAAAGAGGGCCCCTATCCAAATAATTCAAAATGCAGCAAAACACAAATGCAGGGATGCTGTCTTTTCCAGTGCATCAGATAAGACAAGCCCATATAGAACAACACATCCACCCCCTCAATAACCAGGAGCCTGCCACTGCTTTTGCTACCACCACCATGGTGGTGTCACAGCAGTAACTGCAGGAGGCCAGTGGCCATGGGACCAGACCACACAGCAAGTAGCTCTGACACAAAGGGGGCTGCTTGATTTTAGACCACCTTTTCCTAAAAGGTGGGAGTTGTGAAAATGTCTTAGACACATGTCCTTAATCAAAGAGAAGGCTGGTACAACCAAGGCAACTCTCCCCAAAAGAACTTTAATGGGAGAGAGCAGCAGATGTTTTCCAGGAACATTTTCTAGCATTGGAAGAGGATATATTTTTTTAAGCAGATAAGAGGTCTGGAGAAGAAAAGAAAAATTAGGTTCTGAGGACAGGAAGGAAATGCTCCCTGGGGTGCCTGATGCAAGTTTTGTCCATATGAAATGCTGATGCCTGCCAAAGGCAGGGTAGAAGGCTGCATGGGCCTCTGGTCTGCTTCATGTGGCCCCCACAACTGATTTACACCTGCATATTCCTAGTTGCCCCTATTTTCACTGGGAGTGAATTTAGTTCCTTATCTCTCACTCATAATTCTCAGCCCATCAAGAAGATCTGAGTCCAAAACATATCCACACTGCCTTTTCCTGAGCACCAGGGCTGACAGCATAGACTGTGTAAGCCCAGCCTCTGCCCAAACCATCTTAGCTTCTGCTACCATGAAATGGCTCTCAGGTGCTTAATGGTGGCGAGAGGAAAGTTGTGTTCAGGGTCTGCTGCTGGTGCACAGATTCCTTCAGCCCAGAGGATGTCTCAGCTGCCTAAATAATCCGGAAGGGGCAATAACAGGACCAGCACCTGCCCAACTCTTCATGAATGCCTGTCTTGTTCAGAGGGAGCAGTGATGCCAAACCCCTTGGTGCCTTTCAGCACACGTCACACAGAAAAGCATCTGCACAAAACCATGAGTGCCAGAACTGGTAGAGCTGCAGGAGCCAGGGTTCTGCTGGAAGAGGGAAGAGAGGCTGCATGTGCAGCCCAGCTGGTGAGTGCATGTCACATCTCATTTTCCTCTTTTGGTGGGACTGCAGACGCATTTACTGCCTGCTAGGTCATGAGATTGTGTGGGGTTTCTTCCCCCAGGTGCCCAGGGCATATGGGAACTTTTCAAGAACATGGCCCTGGCCCTTACCTTCCCTGGAGGATTCTTTCTGTGTGATGGGTTGTTTGTGTTGTTCTCGAGGCTAGAATAGACATCAACTTGCTGCACATCCAGGCTCTGCACAGAAAAGAGAAAAGAAAGTAGGTGTCAAATAAAATACTTATGTTTAAGATAACTAATTACCCACTGGTTGCTCCCCATATCATGCCAGACATTTTTTAGGGACCCCTGCCACCTCCAAAATTTTGAAGTACCTGACCTTAACTTGGGCAAACAGAAAATCCTTTTCCCCTGAAATACCTACAGTGCAGCTGCATCATCATCTTTTTTTCAGGCTTACAGAGACAGGCTTTGATGTTGCCTACCCTGTGTAACGCAGTGGAGAAGAATGCCAATGCCTCTGCCTCACTCTGCTCCAAAATTGGCCCAGAATGCAAAGTTGTGCACCAGGGGGACCACAGGTAAGAGGCAGCGCTCTGCACCACCCAAGACTGTTTAGGTGCTTGACAACCACAAGTTCTTGTTCATGTTTATTCTGGGGACACAAAAGTGAGAAAATGGGAGAGGGTGGGGGTCCTGAAGCACAGAACCTGCAGAAAATTAATACAATTTCTGTTTATTGTCTGTTGTTTTGGTTTTTTTCCAAGCCAGAACTCTTCTTTCTTCTTTGAGTGAGCAGAGAATTATAAAAAAATCCATATGCTCCCAGGCCCTCAAATATTACCACGGTCCCACTCAGCTACACAGAGAAACACACACACACACACCCTGCATGCATATGCACCCGTTGTCCCCCAGGTAATCGTGTCACAGGAGGTGCATGTCAGCTTGAGTGATATTCCAGATCTGCCTGAAGGATCAAACATAACAATCATGAGGACTTTTCCATGTGTGTTTCAAGGATGACAGCAGGTTGCCAAGGTGGCTGTTTCTCTGGCAACAGGAAGATGGGAGGAGCTCTGGCTGCAAGAGGGGCAGATGGTATTAGTGGAGAGAGCCAGGCACCCTGTAACGCAGTGAGAAGGATGAGTAAAACATGGAGGTTTCATTGGGGGCTGCCAATCACTTGAACCCTCATAATTTCATGCAGAGTTGCAAACACTCAGCATCTTTAAGGATCATGGCCAGCAGGACAGTGCTTTGAACAGGGCCAGAGCATACAGAAGCAGCACTGGGGAACGAGCCTTGGAATAAACAGGCACTTAGACATCAGCTGACCACAGTGAATGGGGCACCACATGGCTCTCACATTCCCACTGCTACTCTGGAAACAGTCAAATTATTTCACCTGGCTGCTTCCTGCTCCCCAAAACCTACTTTCCCTACTCAGACATCACCACCATTTGCACGTGCACATGTGCACACAGAAAATTCTACTTCCCCACACTCATTTTCAATTCTCTTTGTGATGCTCACAGTGAGGACCTCATCTTGTGTGCTGAGCTTCCAGAAGCCTGGCTCCATGTCCCCTTGGCAGGACAGGCAGCCTCTTTCTCTACTCCAGTCTGAAGCTACTTGCAAGCAAGGTGTTTAACTGCCAGAAACGGTTCCCTTCCCTCCACATGCCTTCTTCCCATGCAGGCTGTTACCAATGCTGGTCCTTTTCCGGTCAGTTGGAGAGCTGGTGTCTCCAACCACCATTTGCAAGTTAATTACTTTTACTTGGTCACTGATCACCTGCTACTGTCACAGTGAAGGCACACATGCCACTCTCCTCCCTGCTGACAGATGCCTTCCTATCCCTGAACAGCCTCCTGTCCCCCTTACACCTGGAAAAGCTCCTGTGCTCTGGAACCTGACTGCACCTGCACTGCAGGAGTTCTGTTTGCTGCTCAAAAAAGCTTGTTTGAAGTGTAAAGCAGATGAAGCAAGTCCCTCAGATTGTTATTTCCATTAACTGAGCAGCTAAGCTGGAAGTCAGAGGATATACAGGTCTGGTTCTGGGCAGTGCAGTGAGGCAGAGCTACTCTACAGTTGCAGGAGGACAGAGAGGTCAAGGAAGGCAGTATAGAGAGAACAAACTGGGTTCCCAGCTGCCCCCTTATTACCAGGCTTTTTCTACCTTGTACGCTTTTCACTGCACACAGCCACCCCCAAGGACCACAAAATACATAGTGGCACCTAGAAGAGCCACTGGGGAAGGTATTTTCTCCCAGGAATGTGCAGCAGGACAGCTTTGCAGAAGGTGTGTCAGGACCCTTCCCACACCAGGGATGAGCCCTGTTGCCATGTAGGATAACACAGAGCATTTAATGAGCTGTGCCAGCCAGCTCCAACAGCATCTGTCCATACCTTCATGTCCAGTGCTGCCTTCTCTTGCTTCTGCTCCCAGCTTCAGGGAGGGAGGACATTGTGCTTCCCTGGCCTCACCTTCCTCCAAACTCCAACCTCTTGCTTTCCCACACAGACAACATAGCTAGCATGTGCTGGTCTCCTGTCCAGCCCCTGATCTCTGACCTCCTTCTTTATCTCACCACTGGGAGCTACTTCTCACTTGTCCTTCCTTTTTTTCCTTGCCTTAGATTACCCCAATGCTGATCACAGATTTTTCCCTTCCCCATGAATTAAGCACTGAGTTCAACATCCACCAACAGATTTTCACAACTCACCTAGTTTTAAACACAGTTTGCAGGGCTGAGTTTACACCATGCAGAGCCCAAATAAAATTTAGCTGTGGAGCATCAGAGTTATCATTCAAAGGAAGTAAGATTTGTCAACTTTCTATTCCCTTCATCTGTCCTGAGGGCCCATCCAATGCAGGTTTCCATCCCAGGGCTCTCACCCTCCCTGCCAATCATGCCATGCAGGGTTGTGCTTGCTGCTCTGCACATCACAGCCCTGCTCTCAGCCTGTGCCTTGTCTGGAGCAGGAGTTGCTGCTTCGAGTCCCCCCCACTGCAGCAGTTGCTCCACAGCAGGAAACTCCCGTGGGCAGACTTGTACCCCCAGCACACAGGAGGTGGTTCCAGGCTGCTTGCAGCCCTGCCAGAGAGGGCCAGGCCTCCTGCCCTGCACACCGGGCTGGCCAGGAGCCCTGAACAGCTGGTGTGTGGTTAACAGGCTTCACAGGAAGGCTGCTTGGGCCAAGTCCATAGGGCTCCTGCAAGCACAGGGGCTCAGCCAGCTCCTGGGATTGCCTGTGCCTAAGGCTGGCTCTGCTGGCTTGCTATATTAGCCTTAGTGGAGCCTGAACAGAATAACATGATGAAACATGTAATTAAGATGGAGCTAAGGATGCATGACGAGGCCGACTGAGCGAGAAATGGATTTGATTTTTTTTTTGTCTCCTTGCAGAAATCATCCACTTCAGCAGGAAACTACCCATTCGGATTTTTATAAGCCTGAATTAAAAAGAAATTACTTGATACAAATGAAAAGGTTTATAACCTGCAACCTCCTTTACCCAAAGCATTGCCTTTTGCCCAGAATAAACATATCACATACAATATATAGTGCTCTCTTTTAAACTGCTACTCCAAAAATTAAAGGGCCACAAAACAGTGCCCCCCCTCCCTGCATAGAGTGAGAAGGAGATGGGGCAGGCCCATCCTCTTGAAGGTATCTGCCCCTGATCAGGTCTCCTGCCTCCCTGGCAGATCTTTGCTCCTTTCTGTAGTACATTCTCCAGAGCTTCGCTTTGTTTAGTTTAAATGATTAATGCAGCAGAGCTCACAGGTTTTCCTTGGAGAGACTTTTCCAGCCCTTATAGACCTCACAGACAGAAAGGTTTCCTAATATGCAGGCAACATCCTTCTCTACTCTCATTTTATTCCTCCTTGTTGGTCCCACAGTTCACAAGAAAAAAAAAACAACAAACCCTTTTCTTCTCAGTGGAGCAGCCATCCCATGGGAGCAAAAGGAGAAAAAAGAATTCATATAAAATGGAGCTGGACAGGTTGTAAATGGGATTAGGAGTCATGGTTACTTGAGGTAGCCGAGGTCTAGCCTGACATTTCAGGGGAACCACTTCAATCCTACTACCTATGACACTGTGGCTACTGGGCTCAAGGAGTGGGAAGAGTCTGGGAAATGGAAAAGGAGATTCTATACAATGAAAAGGGAAATGCTTTCAAAAAAGCCTCCCTTGACTTTCTCCTTGCCCATTTCCCCCTGCTAGCTAGTTGTTCTGCTCAGGACTGCAATGGTCTGTGACACTGACACCAGTGAAGGGGCCACAGCTGAGGCCCAAAACAGCTGGGGGCTGGTCAGGGTATCATGTCTCTGCCCCTTTCCTGAGGCATCATTCTCCAGCTAGAAAGGCCATGCCCTTGTGACACTGCAGTACAAAGTGGGGCTGAGAGTCCCTCTTCCTTCCTGACTTTTGGAGATTCTTCTACCTCTTCCACCAGGAACCCTTCCAGGCCCCACACTTGCTGCTCTGTGCTGCCGGCAGAGGGAAAGGTGCTCCTCAGCAGGGCATGGGACAAGGTTTGGGCACTGGGGAGGCCATGACCGGGACTAGGATGGAGACACACCCAGTCCGGAGAGAAGCTAAGCAGGGCGAGGTCAGCAAGAGCAGGCAGGTATGGAGGTATTGCTTCTGTTTCACATCATGACACTGGCACTGTCTGCAGCACGGCAGGGAAAGGAAGGGTTGTACCAAAGGGTGATTCTGGTACTCACATCATAGACAGGAGGTGGTAGTGGTGGTGGGCTGGCTGAAGGCAGCTGTGTTTCTGCCTTCTGTCTCAGGATATTTGGCTGGTTCCTTCTAGGGCACAACACCTGCTCAGGACAAGACACCAAATGACACATTTGGAGAAAACCACATGTCCCCAAAGCTAAATGAATACCAATGTAATATCAAAGCCAGCTGTCTGCACACCTCCTGAATGTTTCCACAAGAAAGAGTGTTGGCAGTGTCTGTACATGTGCTGGTTACTTTCCTCACTGCATGGTTAAGTGTAGAATCCAGTGACTCACACTGGAGCAGTAGAAAGGAGAACTGGGCTCTGTGTGTACATATAAAGCACTTTCACTACCAAAACCTTACTGGCTGAAGGGTGTAAGTATTGAGCAGCACAAAACAATGCTATAGGACAGGGAGTAAAGCAGGGCACTGGTCATACTGCAGAAAGGAATTTCAGCGAGGCAAAATGCAATTACTTTTATCAGGATTTGGCAAGGAAGCTTTTCCTAATACAAAGAGTCTACAGAAGAGCACCAGACAATCATTAATGGTGACATCTAGTCAGTGATACATGGATGCACAAGTCCAGCATGGAGTTGAAGGAAGAAGGTCCCTTTGTTTGAATGTTTCTTCCATCAGATGAGTTCTCATTGAACACATTCCATGCACACAGAGAGAAGGGTTAGCTCTGCTCAGCAAGCAAGAGAAGTGGCAGAAAAGGCAGAAGGCTTTGCTAAGTATCTCTGTTCTAATTCAGAAAGAAGTGGGATGATTATATTCACATCACATGAAAACGACAAACTGCTTTCCAGTCCATTAGTAACTAAGGAGGATGCTAAATAGCTTCTCTTAAAGATAAACATTTTTAAACCAGCAGGTCTGAGCAAGCTGTGGTGAGAAATATGGGCTGTGTTCTGCAGGAGGGCAAATGTAATGACTGCACAGTCTCTTCAGACCCCAAGGAGAGGCCATAAGTCTGAGATTCACTGGCCCACCTCAAAACCCAGAGATGCCAATTGGTGAGTGGTGACAGTGCCTCCCCCCTCATCCCCACAGAGACACTCTCTAGGCAAACAGAGATGGGGGCTCATCTCCAGCTGACTCCCTTTGCCTCTTACACTCCTCCCCCACGTCAGACTGCCTGCAAGGTAAGTCTCACGAGATTAGCTGGGCTGCCAACTGCTGCCGTTCTGTTTTCAGCCTGGTGATCTCTGACTGTGTGTGCTGAAACCTGACACTCCTTGGAGTCAGAGGACTGTACACACAGCACAGCTTCCACATAAAAGAGCATGCAGAGTCTGCTGTTGCGGTGGCACAGAGCAGCTTCAAGGAGTTATGGGGCACACTCTACCTAGAAACCAACAATCCCATATTCCATTCTAGGAGATGTAAGTGTATTTCTAGGCCAGCCTTGAGATTTCTGGAAGAATGCAGATGATGCTGTTGCAACACTTGAGGGTGGCAGTACTAGAAGCAGTAGGTCTTCCCCAAACAACAGGGACTCCAATATCATGACTCCAGATGGTTTTTCCACAGAGTCCATCTCATGCAGATCTTCTAGTTCTGCTTTTGGCTTTTCTTCTCCCACTCTTCAAATCCTTTCTTCCCCACTTCTGGTTCTCCCCTCTGCTCTCAGCTTCCCAGATTCCACTTCTTTGGAATCTGGTCCCAACCTGGGACACCAGTCTGGTCACCCAAGAGGTTCTGTCAATCCAGTCTTAAGACCCTCCTAGTGTTTCCTCACTCCAGATTCCAGTCCCAGTTTCCCCCCTGAGGCTCATTATTCCAGCCTCACAGAACCACTGCTAATGGAAGGTGTCCCTGGAGATGGTATAGTCTGATCCTCGACCCTTTATATTTTTTTTTGTTTTCCCCACAGTTATTTGTAATTTTCACACAGGCTTCCTTGGGATCCTTGCCCTGACCCTTCCCTTCTCACTCTGTCTCTTAGTGTTTTCTTTGCCAAACAGATGCCCAAGGCTTTGGTCCCCATCCCCATCACAGTGCAGAGTTTTTTTGCGATGGTGCCCGAGCTCAGGAATGCAGCTGCAGTCTCCTTGAAAGAGTAACCTCCATCTTGAAAGAGGATTAGAAATAGGGAAAGTCCTGCCATCAGGGTTGTAACAGATTTGCTCGGATGCACAGGACATTACTTGTTTAACTGGCCCCTTCACAGAAGTTTTAGGCAACTGAATTGGTAAACTGATAACAGCCATGACTGAGTGCACAAACCACAATTTTCCAAAATCCCATCACAAGGCTACATCTCCTTGAATATTCTCACAGCCAGCACACTGCTAGTGTGCCTTCTTGCCCTGTGTCAAAGCCTCGCTCTAAAGTAGAGCATGCTGTAGTCAAACTGATTGCCAGAATTTCTTTAATGGGCAAATCACTTACTCATTTTGTCTTTCCTGTAATCTTTTTTTCTCAGAAAAACTTAAGAAAATAAACTGGATCAGACTCTCAGCATGGAAAATCTCAGCATAGGGACTTCCAATTCAGCCAAGGTAGAAAAAAATTGAATTAATTCCTACAGTGCATCAGGTATTGCTTTGCATTTGGTTATTACTTGCCTTTCTTTTCCATAGAAGCAGAGCAGTTGCAGTGATGCTCAATACAGCCAGAAGAACAGTAAGGGTAACGAGGATTTCCCAGCTGTAAGAGGTATTTATGTATCCTGTATCTGTAAGAAAGAAGGTAAAAGGTTCACAGTGACAGTGGAACCCTGCTGTATTTTTAACCCTGGAAAGAGCCTTGAGAAAACTAAAATGCAGGAGTGCAGAATGTAGTGGCAGAAATGCATACACCCTTCAAAACCTACTCTGACTGAACAGAGAGCAGGGTGCAGCTGCAGAATCACACAGAAGATGCAGGGTATAAGCAGCTCTACTTCACAGAGGGAGGTGATATGAGACAAGAAATCTCGTAGATAGAGGTTGGCAAAGGTCTTTTTGTGATAGGAGCAGAAAGACAGAGGGTGGAATGCACACAGGCCACACGAACTGGGAGGATGGGTTCTGCAAGTATCCTCTGACCAGTACAGCAAAGCCACTTCATCACAGCTCTTTGCATTTACATTAACAAGTTCTTCATATCCAACAGTCATTAATGCACAACCAGCCAGTCAGCAGCATGCACTTCCTTATCACTTTTCTTAACATTCCTCTTATGTTGCATCAAGCTTTCCACTGCTTTCCAGTGTGCTCATTAAGTGACCAACCAATTCCCTGTACCAAATGGAAAAGAGGGAGGCATGTTGGTGAGGCCATAACCTGTTCATGAGTCCCTAAATCTGAGCATGCTGAATCTGTACATGTGGTAACTGCAAGCACCCTGATGAGTGACCTTATCAGCTGCCTCTGTCACACTGCTGAAGAACAAACCACACTGTCTTCTGAACACTGACACCTAAAAGCACTGTGTGATCCAGTGCTCAGGGTTCCTAGATAGATCCTGATTCCCATCTGGCAGGGCAGGTATAAATTATTGTCTCTTCATGTCCTCATCTGTGCATTGGGAACAGCAGAACACCTGTGCCAAGTGCATTTCAACTCTGATGGCAATTAGTATTGGGCATAAAGCATTATTCATACCTGACTTCTTAGCATGTGTGGATAGAGAAAAAGAAGAGCGAAGATCAGGTTTCCATAGCCAGATACAGCTGATTTTTACCCTCCTGCCCTTACTTTCTGGTTTTTCACTTACCTCTAATAAGAACAAACACTCCCTTTCCCATTTTTTTGATATCATTCCATTTGACCTCGCAGTAGTATGTGCCAGTAGAGGAGGTGTTTTCAAGTGGCATGATTCTGTGGTCATAAGCTAAGGCAGCAGTCTTATTCTCTTCTCCAGAAGGAATGGCTATGTTTTCCACCCTACTATAGATAAATGTCTTCTGATCCAGTGAATTAATCCAGTAATAGGAGATTGAAAATTTGGTGTATTTCGGCATGTAAGGGAAGATGACTTTACAGGGGATGGATATTTCTTCCTTGAGCAAGGCAACCTGGATTGGAGGTTTCTGCAGTACATCGACATTTCCTCCTGTAAGAGTAGTAATAGATAGCAGTCACCTAATCTCACTTTTAGTGAGGAGAGAATGGCTGTCCCACAGACAGGATCACTCTGAAAATAACCATACACCAGGAAGCACACTCATAGCACGCAGTGTTGGCCCTTGTCAGAAGCTGAGTGATTCAGAGCATGTGCCCTGTGTGATCTGTCACATCTCTTGGGTAATTGCTGTCTGATCCACGATAGCCTGCTGCATTCACAGGCTTCCCCTTTTCTCTTGTGAGCTCCTCCATATAACAGCAGTACGCAGAAAGGCAGGAAATTAAGCAGGAAGTGAACTGATTTTGCAGTGGTGTTTGAATGTATTTACAGCAGGTGAATAGAAAGCAATTTTCCAAGATAAATGCTAGCTGGACATGTCCTGGTGTATAAACCACGCTCGGGAATCTACGTGTGGCTGTGTGATGGCTCTGTGGCAGAGAAGGTGTTGTGTGCAAGCAGGTGTTGTCAATGGGGCTGTGTATTTCTGAACAGCAAGTGAGGAGGGAGACTGCATATTCTGTACAGAATTCAGCACCAGGGCCATGAGAAATAAGCCATAGCTTAATCACTCCAAACCTTTGCTGCTCTAAAATGGGAGCAAAGCACAAACCTCAGTGTTAGCTATGGGAACTATCTGCAGAGGACTGCAGATCTGAAGTATTTATATGTGACAGTATCTTAGGCAGAGATGAGAGCATGCCCTTCTGCCCTTCTCAGGCTTCCTCCTAATACACACAAGGCAGTTTAAAGTGATCTATCACTGCAACTCAGTAGACAATGATGTCAGAAGTTAAAAGAAAGGACGAATAAGATGGGGAACCATACCACACTGTTCACTCCCTGTTTTATTTAATGACAAGGAAAAAAAACTAAGAGTGAGCCACTGGCTAGTAAGGAGACTGGGGTACAGGACTTCTTTGGCTCCCAGCCAAATCTGGGTTCAATATCAGGCAGTCTCTGGATCTATTTATTTGTCAACTGATATAAAACCACATATAAGGCAACTTAAGAGGAGGCTCTTTGAGAAAGGAAACTGGAAACTTACAATTCTTGTCACAAAATGAAGGATTCTTTCAGAGACATTAAATGAGAAGAGGGAAAAAAGGGTAGAGAGAGAAAGTAGGGGATGGGCAGGCTTTTCCATTTATGCTTTTGATGGGATTCCCTGGAGTTCTGCATCTATGAGCAGGCTCATAACAAGGTATTAAAGCTGTCCCAGAGCACAGCCAGGCTTGCTTTTCTGTCACCATGGACTAATGCTGCATCACAACAGCAGTGTCACCTCAGCACAGCAGGAGCTGGCACTGGAAAAGGCAACTCAGACTTAGCACTGCTGAATGCTGAGCACTGAGGATTCGTGGTGGGGGACAACAGTGGAGAGCGGGCACAGCTACTGCCCCGAAAGGACTGCTGGGAAGTACCATATGTTAAGGAAAATTCTCTACACATCACATAGCCAGGGACAACAGCCTGACAGTAAGGAAGAGCTTAGGTTACAACACCAGAGAAAGGTTCTTGGCTGTAAAATCAACTGAGATACAGTACAGTCCTCAGGGACATGCTCAATCCTCAGTCCTGTGTACACTAGTTACAATAATATTATGGAAAGGTGGTAACAAAATCCTGCAAACACTGGGAGTGATAACCCAAGTAGCTTATTCTGGGCCATATTTTTCAAAATGATGCATCATCCTTCTCCCCATCTCTATACAGCAGAACACACATGAATACAGTTTCTACATGAGACACAGCTAAGCACTACTTTAACAAAAGAGAGGAGAGATCCATCTTCTCATATTATCCCAGAAGCAACTAGGTTGAAAAGAACATACCAAGGAAAAAGCCAAACCATTTTATTTAGGTTATCTAACCCTTCTCCCACGTTCTCTCGTTCTTGAGGATTCACTCTCTTAGCTTTGAAATGCTTAAAAGACAGAAATAGCAGCAGCGTGCAAATTCCTAGAGGGGATCTCTGGAAATTAGCAAAAGACAGCAGCTGGAACTGCTCTAATATGAAAAACATGAGAGTAAACAAAAGGAATTAAAAAGAAAATATTTGTTTACCTCCACACTGAAGCAACCAAAGAAACAGGAAGATGACTTTTGGATTTGGGATCATGATGGGGAGGTCAAAGGCGGCAAGCACGCACCCAGACCCAAAGATGCAGAAGGCACAGGAGGTGGGGGTTTGGCAGGTATTTTCATGCCAGGGCAGCTGGTCGATGCCCTCCTGTTTGCCAAGGGACAGGCGAGATGTACACACACTGCATTTGGCAAGCAGTTCCTGGCAGACACGAGCTCTTCTGCTTTTTGGTCAGACTCCACCCCACACCAGGACTGACTTCTCTGTCCTACAACGATGGTGTCAGCCCTACCAGCGGGTGTCCAAAGACCAGACCACAAGCACTTTAACACACAGAGCTTTGCTTCCTGATGGCTGTAAAATATCGCTCGCATTTACAACGAACTTTGTCACCTTCCACAACGTGGGGGATCGCCTGTTCTGCCTTCAACACAGAAAACCAGTATACTCATGAGTAGTCAGTATAGAGCAAAGGCTGTACTGTACCACTGACTCCATAAAATGGCCCTCCACAGCCAACTTCTCCACTAGGTCACTCCAGAGGAAGGCACTCACATTCACAGAGTGAGGACAACCAGACGGCGAATTCGTCCCGAACAGCTGGACCATTTCAGATCCACACCATGCTGGCTCTGAATCAGCTTCACAGTGCAGGCAAGCTTTAAGTAATCTATTGTAGGCAAATCTAAGGAGAGCCTTTTGAAGAAGAAAAACCACGTTTTGTGGGAGGCTCCTGCCGCCTATATTCACGAAGAGTCTTTGATTTTCAATGAATGCTTGTTTTTAGCTAAGACATCTGCAATGCAACAGCTGAGCAGCATCTGACTCATAAAAACTCCTGTGGCTGAGAGGTCTCCACTTCTCTTTAGGCAGCTTCCTCCTTTCACACTTCTTGTGAGACAATTGCACTGTCCACAAGAAAGGACTTGCTGCAACTTCAAGGGTGCCCATTCACATGGGGTGCTGTGCTGCAGAGACTGGTGGGGGATGCTCACGTGGGGAAAGACCTAAGGCAGCAGATTGCTTGTAAGCTTTGTGTATTCAAAAGCGCTATCAATTGTTTTATGCCTCCAGACTTTGCAGGAACAAAGTTTACTCCAAAAAACCTTTGGTTTACAGCATTGTTCCTCCTGTTCAGACTGGGCCAGGTCCCCTGGAGGAAGGGGTCTTGACACAGGGGGAGGCATGTGCTGCGTGATGCCCAGGGACGGCTCCAGTACCTCTCTGAGAACCCTGACAGATGGGGAGAGGAGAAAGTGGCTTTGCGTGGCTGGGGCAGCAGCTGCACTCCTCCAGGGAAGGTTTAGCTCAGATTAGCCAAAACCAACTCCTCTCCCCAAGACATGCTGATGTGAGCTGCACGGGGCTGGTCTCAGCTGGAAATCACTCCTCACAGGTCTTAATGCTGAGTAGCAAGGACAATCAAAAGCAGTAACAAGACACTTGGGGCCCACTTGGTATTTCAGATATGGAGGCACAGATCAGGTAGCTGTGGCTCTGGGGTCACAACAGCACCTCAAGGTAGTCGGGGCAGGGAGAGAGAAGGAAACAGAGGCTCACTACCTTCCTGTGGAAGAACTCCACTGAATAGTGAGGGCTTCCTCGGCTCTTATATCATGCTCATCCCCATGGTAGCACACAGCTTTGTAATTTCCAGTATTGATGTATTTCTAGAGGACAGAACATGCTGCTCCTGCCAGTGATGTGTTTTAACTGTTATCAGCATTTATCTGCTTCAGGAATTCAGGGTGATAAGTGGATTAAGTGAGGTAGGTTCGTAGGGCTGCTAGGTCAACATCATCCTTCTGTCCTTTCTGTTCTCTTCCTATAAACAATCCTGGTGCCACTCGAAATGCCAAGTCCTAGAAATATCCCTGTCTGGAATTTAAAAAAAAAAAAAATCTAGCATTTCAAAAGAGATCACACACAAGACTCAGCTGTGGGATTAAAGGCACAGCCAGGCCAGAAATACTTTCACTGCTGGGATTTGCTATGGTAGAGCTCACTGAAAAGAAATGGCTTTGAAACGACTACCCAGCAGCTATTAACTGCGAGACAGGATGACATTCTGTTCCTTAGAGCCTAAAGGGAGCCTGAATCTTTGAATGTTAAATTCTAATTCAATTTGGTCTGGGGATTCTGAACTGAGTTTTAACCCTGGAGACATAAATGGAAGGAAGATGAGGAAAAGCTGGGGAGTTGCTATTACCAGCCAGTAGCAGGACTGAACTGATCGCCCCAAAACTTACGTGGAGTAAGATACCTGTGCCAAAGGAAATCAATTAAAAAGCTCCAAAGGAAGAGGTCACTGTATGACCTTCACTCATGCATTATACAATGCATGGGTGCATGTGAGCCAGTCTCTACAGCACGATGAGGAGAGAACAGCCTGGCCAGCTGCAAACCCACCACAGCACTGACTGGCCAGGACCTGTACGGCTTGGTCCTTCCTTTAATGCCGCAAATGCTGACACTTCCTGAAATTAAATACGGGATTGGGGTAGATTCAAGCCAGTTTCTGCCTATAGCTGAAAAGTGGATATTAATTTCACTGAAGCACTTTAAAAAGCCCACAATAGCAGCCAGCAGTCCCAACCATGTTCAGCACGCATGAACAAGTTTGGGCAAGTGCTGCACCTACCAGAAGTGCCTGTTCACAGCTGTCTCCAATGTACACCCACAAGTCAAGGCACACACACGAGCCCACACATGCCCCCACAGCCAACTCCAGGGAAAGCATTAATTCAAACAAAAAGGTTGCTGCTAGCCAAGGCAAAAGCAATGCTGCAGAGACCACAACAAAGCCTCTTTATTGCTGAAGCGTTTAACACCACAGCCATCCAAAAGAGAAACACCGCCTGGCACACAGAAAAGCTGCAGCAGCTCAGCGAGCCTGACTGCACAGAGCGCTTCAGAGCATTCCCCAGCACGGCAGCTCTGGGTTCGCTGCCTTGTCAGAGACCAGCTCAAACCCCCATCGCTGGAAAGCCAGCCAGCGGCAACATGTGCACCTCTGAGGATTCACAATCTCTTTGACTCATCTAACCCCAGACTCCAGGGCGTAGAGTTTCCCTCTTGTCTGGCAGCAGGAGCGATAGCGAAGCCAGCATGAGCAGGACCGTACCCCTGCCAGCATTTTTACCACTGTTGTGTGTCGAGTGCCTCTCAGCAGGGCTGGATGATGCTGAGGTAAAAAGCTACCAATGCCCTCGCTACGTTTCTACCCATTGAAATGCTGTAGGGAATGATCAGTGACTTGATGGGGAAACAGAAAATTAGAGGTGCTGACACCACCATGGGGAAGGGAGGGGACAGTTCTCTAATTCCCTTTCACCAGCAAAACAAGTCTGCCTCAGAAATCACCCACTCCTGCTTTTCCTCTGCTCACCTGCTGGAAAGATTCCCAGGAACTAAGTTACCACCACAGGCCTGACGAACACCCGGGGCCGTACCTCAGCCTCGCGGCGAATCCCTCCCCGTTCTCCTTCACTGGCTCCTTGTGTGGCCAGCGGGAATTCGCCTGGTGGGAGAGCTGTGCCTACTCAGAGTGACACCTTCCACAAGAACCTCTACCTGCCGGGCCTGGGGCTGACACGAGGCCAGGACGGAGCGGGCCATGTTAGGTCCGCCTGATCCAGGGGGT